GAAGGCAGCTTCTGCCGCCCCAGCGACCGACCCACTCGAGCCTCCACCTCCCCACAGACAATGTGACCGGCAAGGCGAGGGCCAGGGACGCGCTCGCCCTGCTGCCCGCCCGCCTCGCCACTCGCGGCAAGACCCGAAGGGAAAGCGCTGCTCTGGTCACCCTGCCTATCCCGGCTGGCTCAAGACGTGTGGTTGCCTGAGGCCGGGCAGGGAAGAGCCCCCCCCCAACTCAAGGTGCATAGGACCACCACCACCCCCAAGCCAGGCAAGGGAAACCGGCCCGAGGCAGAAAAAATCTCACAGGTTTCTGGCAGGGGAAGGTAACATCATAACCAGAGGAAATAACCTTTTTTCTGCCCTGGCAGCCTCACTCTGCCAAATGATAGGGCCGGCCTGGAAAGTGATACTGGCGCAAGAGGGCTCGTGTTTCTATAGACATCCCGTCAGGGCCAAGAAGAGCTAATCTTTCGAACTACACTTCCCAGAAGCCTCCAGCTGACCACGTTGGCTGAGGGGTTCTGGTGGTCCAAAAAAAGTAACTTTTCCAAGCTCTGCTCTCTTTTTTTAGATCAACAGATGCTCCATGGTTTGGTCCATTTGCTCATCATAAACACTGCCAAGACAGTGTAAATAAGAAAAATATTAAACAGAGGATGCTGAAGTAGCTTGTCAATATATTTGTGATCTTCTCGCTGTACTGTATCTGGTTCTTGCCCCTGCCACTTTCGTCAGTTGTTATTACGCTGCATTCCTACGGGATCTATATCAAATACGGATTTGTGTTTTTTGTTGAGCATTACCCCGAGAAGTAAGTTTCCGAGCTGTTGTTAGACAGAAATAAGAATGATTAAGTAAGAGTTTCAAAGTAGAAGCAGTTATGGTATCAGCTCCTAAAAATTCAGTGAAACCATTAGGTACGCATATAAAGAACTGCATGGCAGATCTGTTATCCAGTTATCCCATCCTTTCTATATGGAATCTGTACGTCCCAATTCTTTTGTCATTCCGAACTACCACCCTAGTTAAAACACATCCGGATTATGTATTTATAGACTTCTTTCCAACTTCCTTCTGCTCCCTTTGAGTTATCTATCACTCTCCCAGACCTTTCCTTTGTGTAGCCCTTCTCACAAAATGATGACCACCCAACCTCATTCTCCCGAGTCCATCGGATCGCCCTCCACTTACCTCCTGCCTTCCCTGCCTGGTCCCTAAGAACTTGGGGAAGTTATAACGATTTTTTGGACTGCAGCTCCCAGAACACCCCAGCTAGATTTTTATTGCTTCTGGTTAGTCAGATCTATCACTTTCTCAGATGGCGGCCCAGTGCTGAGATATGAAGGACCACACCCAGACTAATTTAGTTGCTACATCGAAAACCATGGCAATCGAAGTCTTCCGGTAAAGGGAAAAAATATCCTTCTGGTGTGTGTGTGTGTGGGGGGGGACCTTATTGGCTGGCAGAGATGGGACAAATGACCGTGCTGGGTGAGGTAGTTTGGGAACTCTGGACCAAAAATTTCCACTGGATTCTTAAGGGTGGTGTAGTCGATCAAGTGGTGGATTCTGGAGACCAGGGTTCGAATCCTCCGTTCAGCCATCGACTGGGAAAACCACTCCGTAAACATCTCACATTGAAAGCCCTATTAGGGTCGCTATAAGTCGGTTCCGACTTGACGGCACAGAACACACGCGCACAGACCCCAGATTTAACTTTTCCCACATCAGATAGTCGATGATATTATGCATGGTGTTTTGTTTTTTCTCAAGAAAAAGAGGTTGTGTATCCTTTCTGAAAATATTGTGATGTTGAAGTTGTGTATCATTTTGTGAGTCCTCGTCTCTCTTTCACACACACCACACACACACACCGATTTTTCGAATGTAGGAAGAAGACGGTTAACGCGTTTCTGAACCTTTAATGAAACCTCCCTGGCAGTCACAAACTTATAAAGATTGCAAAAAGCGATCTCCTGGTACGTCGAGGGGAGGAGGCCTCTTCTGAATAGCTCCCTTTGACCCGTCCTTCAAGAAATGCAACTCAAATGAACCTCAAGCGTAATTGTGCTATTAAACTTAATTAGAGGGTCTTAAAAGGAACAGTCTTTCGGCAGTAAGAAAGACAGAAGGCATTCTGTTACCGAAGAGCCGGTCTCGAGTAGAGGAGGAGCACAAGCGCCACGCGGCCCCCGAGTATCTGCTGCAAAAGTGTCCGGGTCACATAAGGAACTTTTTATTCCTTATGTATTCCTACCTCATTGTTGGGAATAAAAAAGAAATGAGGTGCCGCGAGCTCGAGGCAGCAGGAACTGCCGGGGGGCGGCAGGTACGGGTGGGGGTGGGGGCCGGTCTGAAGCTTGAAATGTGACGCGCCTCTTCTCTGTCTGAGAGCGGCAAGGAAAGCCTCCCGTTCGCTGGAGGCCCCGCGGCTCCTTTTGGCCCCTATCAGCGCGTGTCCCCCTGGCGGCGCTTTTGTCCAAGAAACGTCCAATAGCGAGCGATTCTCTTCAGGAGGGGTGGGTTAAAGCCAAAAGAAGGAGGGCGCATTCGCTCTTGCAGCTGCCAGTCAGGAATGGCTGTTGGCCATAGCAACTGAACGACGCCTGCCCTGGAGGGATCAACATTTAACTTTCGAAAGGGAAAAGAGAGAGAGAGAGAGAAGGAGAAGGAGGAGGAGAAGGGGACGGCGAAAAGCACTTTGCAAGCAGGTAAGGACTGTTCTTCAGGAGAAGGAACTCCTTCCAAAGCGGTCTAAAAAGTCAGTAGCAGCTGCTGTTGCTGTTGTTGTGCCCTGTTAAATCAGACCCGACTGACTGGTGGTGAATCCCCGCGACTGAGCGAGCTCCAACATGCCCTGTCCTCAACTATCAACTGGTAGCAGCTGAACGACACCTAGTGTGAGCCTTTGCTTGGTGAAACAATCGAGGGCCACGCGGGAATGTGACACTTCCTTCTAAGCCTGGAGATTATACATTCCCCCATCATGGCTTGTAACCTGCGACAGATTTTTCCTCCAGGAATCTGCCCAATCCCCTTTTTAAAGGCATCTAGGCCAGATGCCATCACCACATCCTGTGGCGAGGAGTTCCACAGAACTGCTCAGCTTTTGCAAACTCAGCTCTGTGGGTTCCTTTAGGGAGTCGATCCATCTCGTATGTGACCTTCCTCCGTTTCTTGATGCCCTCTGTCTTTCCCAGCATCTTTAAATTTTCCAGAGAATCCTGTCCTCTCATTATGGGCCCAAAGGAGGACAGCCTCAGTCCCAACATTTTTGCCTCCTGAAATACTTCCGGCTTGATTTGATCTAGGACACACTGGTTCAACTTTATGGCAGTCCAGGGTACCTACAAACTCTCCTCCAGCATCACATTTCAAATTATTATTTTTTTCCAGCTTTCTTTACCGTCCAGATTTCACACCTGTACATAGTAATTCAGGAATACAAGAGTGTGGGTGGTCTTGATTTTCAGTGACACAGGGTGAGGCACCATTCAATGGAGTGATGGACTAGAACCCAGGAGGCCTGGGTTCAAATCCCTTCTCAGCCACAGAAACTCACTGGGGGGATTGGAACTGGTAAAAACACCTTCTTAAATATCTCACTTACCTTGAAAGCCCTGTTAGGGTTGCTCTATGTTGGTTCTGATTTGACAGTGCATAATAACCTTGACTGGGGGGATTGGAACTGGTAAAAACACCTTCTTAAATATCTCACTTACCTTGAAAGCCCTGTTAGGGTTGCTCTATGTTGGTTCTGATTTGACAGTGCATAACAACCTTGAGAAGGCAGTTTCACTGTGCAGTGAAACCTTTGTTTCATTACAACTCACAAATACTAACTGATGCTTGCTATTGTGCCTGTTGCATAGATAGAGAACTAATCCCTTCCTTCTGGCCTGCCCAGTGTCAAACAGAGATGACTACCCACAGTTGATTCTGGACTGCATCCTCTATCATCCCATACCATTGGCTGTGGCAGCTAGTGCTGCGTTTCAGCCTGACAACTTTTGGATGGCCACATGTTCTCCACTCTTACCTTAGTAATCTATAATATAGTAGGCAATATGCTGCCCTCCAGATGTTTTGGGCTACCACACCCACCACACCCAGTGGATGGGGCTTATGGGAGCTGTTGTCTTAAAAAAAAAAACCCTGAAGGGCTGCCGGCTGCTTGTCATTTTATGTGAACTGTGGATAGACTTAAGACTGTTAGTTCATTCTCATCTAAGGAGTAGATATAGGCAAGGAATTTATACAGAGTGTGCTTGGCCTGAAACATTTCTCTATCTGAGGTCCAGCAGCATAGGGTAACCCCCCTCTTAGCAAAATAAATAGAGAACTATTTTCTACATTTTCAAAACAACCACCCAAGATCAGTTGTCCAAGGTAGCTATCTCACTTTACCTAATGATAAGGCCTTACCAGACAGAATCAGAGACTGTTGTTTCAGTCAAGTACTGTATTATTAATTTAACCAGCAGCATTTCCCCAAGATGGTACACAGAATTCTTTCACAGGGTACTACTCTATGGGGAAGAAATGGCCCTCCAGATACTAAAACACAGTTTCCATCCACTTCAAAAAACTGGGGGTTGTAAAGGTTCCCCTTGACATTTAGTCCAGTCGTGTCCGACTCTAGGGCGCAGTGCTCATCCCTGTTTCCAACCCATAGAGCCAGCGTTTGTCCGAAGACAGTTTCCATAGTCACATGACCAGTGCGACTAGACACGGAACACCGTTACCTTCCCACCAAGGTGGTACCTATTTATCTACTCACATTTTTACATGCTTTCGAACTGCTGGGTTGGCAGGAGCTGGGACAAGTGACGGGAACTCACTCTGTTGCATGGACTCTATCTTACGACTGCTGTTCGTCTGACCCTGCAGCACAGAGGCTTCTGCAGTTTAACCCTCAGCCCCACTACACCCCAAACTGGGGGTAACTGGGGACAATAGTAACAAATTTTAAAGGGAGTTCCTCAAGTAAGATTTGCTGATGGTGCACATCTGAACCTTCCTGTCAAGTGACAACCTTTAGGCAGAGCAGAGGGATTACAAGGTGGTGACAAAACTACACGCAATGCATTGCCTTTCCCTACATACACACTTCTGACATTGCCTAAAGTTCCCATTCTATACTGAAGAAAGAAGGAAAAGAAAATAACTTAATGTTTGGAATCCTACTGGTGTTCACATAAGGTTTCCTTAACTTGTAATAGCCAATTGCAGCTAATTGACAAAGTGCTGGGACACATCTCAGTTGTCACAAAATTGATTGCAGAACCAAGATGTACTTCAGCACCTTGTCAGTTACTTGCAATTGGCCACAGAAAGTTATGTAAAACTTCTGCAAGCACCAGTAGGATTGCAGGCACTGAAAGGCACATGCTATACAGTGATGTTATGGTTGCTGACTTCCATTCAATGTCACTGATATCACAGTGGCAATACAACAGTAAAGTCTCAAACAAAATCTTTATTCATTCAGACAGAACTCCCTCAACATTTGCCATTAATTGGATTATTATTTTTTAACCACAGCCTTTTAGACATAATACATAAGAATCGGGTTACATGGTGAAAATAATGGAAAATGTAAGACTTTTTTGCTTGGCCACTGAGCAGATTTCAGAATTTCAGTAACAGATCTCAAAGACTAGATTCCGTTAGACCAGCCCTCCCTAATTTGGCACCCTCCATTTAGGTTCCCAGCTTTTTTCAGCATCAGCCAGAATAGCCAATGATAGTGAATGATGGGAGTTGTCATTTGAAACATTTGAAGGGCACCAAGTCAAAGGGGGGGAGGCGGTGTCTTTTAGACTTCAGCCATAAGAATAGGAAGGAATATTTCTTCTGAAAGGAACATGGATCTTTGACGCCTGAGGCATTTCATTCTATGAACCTTTTGTGACATTGTTGCTTTGTGAGTTAAGTAATTTTAAAAAAATCTCTCATGCTCTACAGCTGTGTATTCTGATGATTCAGTATTTTGTACTCAAATAAATTATGTCTTTAATGGGTACTGCACATAAACATGACATTTAAAGTGTTCAATGTGATCATGATTAACCACTCCTCCATCTTGGTACATGGAGCATTTGTGTCTCTCTTGATAATTAATTAACTTGATTCCCCTTGAGCACCTAGCAACATAATAGTTCAATTCTGTAACACTAAACATTTCAGCCCATTAGATAATTAGAAGAACATGCTGCTCTTGTTACTTTCTAGTATAGAAGACTAAAATATAAAGTTAATTGCTACCTGTAGTTTTGCTAATATACCCTGCTAGGTTTCAGCATTTTTATCATCCTAGCAGTACAGGTTGGTTAGAAGCACAACATGAACTTGCCTAGCTTTTGAAAAGGGGGTGGTGGATATTTCTTCAAATGGCAATTTAATGAAAGTGATGTTTAATTCACTGAAAAACAATAACCAAGAAGACTCAACAAAACAGAATGGCCACTTATGCTATAGTTCCAAAAGAATGATTAGCTCCTATGGGCTGGAAGTACAGCATTAGGAGGCCTCGCAATTCAGAAGGAACTTATCCACTACAAACGAAATAAATGGAAACTATTGTGTTCTGCCCCATCTCCAACTCATTTTTAAGGAGTTTAGGAGAATGAATGAAATGGCCAACGCTTGCTGGAGTTTTGCAGTTATTATGGTCTTTATGTCAGCAATACCTTCTTTAATACGAAGCTTCAGCACAGAGTTTCCTGGAGACATCCAAGATCGAAGCACTGGCATCAGCTCGATTTGATCCTCAGTAGACGTTCTAGCCTTCCTAGTATAACAATCACACACAGTTACCAGAGTGCTGATTGTGATATTGATCACTCCCTGGTTTGTAGTAGAGTAAAACTGTGAACAAAGAGACTGTATCACACAAAAAAGGAAGGAAGACCATGAATTGACATCAGCAAGACTTGCAATCAAAGAAAAGTGGAGGAATTTGCCCAAACGCTTGAGGAAACCCTTCCAGGCCTGGCTGATGCAAATGCACCTGAACGATGGGAACATTTCAAGCACGCTGTGTATAACACGGCCTTGTTCACATTCAGCAAGAAGACCAAAAAGACGGCCGACTGGTTCAAAGCCCATTCGGAGGAGTTGATGCCAGCCATCAAGGATAAGAGAAAAGCTCTAGCAGCATACAAATCCTGTCCTAGTGAGTACAACTTGCAGACTCTTTGAGCTGCTCATAGCAAAGTCCAACAGGCTGCCAGGAGATGTTCCAACGATTATTGGCTTTAACTCTGTTCTCAAATACAGATAGCAGTGGACACAGGTAACATCAGAGGAATGTATGACGGTATCAAGCAGGCTTTAGGTCCAATACAGAATAAATCTGCTGCTTTGAAGTCTGCTACAGGCATGATCATCCAGGACCGAGCACAGCAGATGGACCACTGGGTGCAGCACTACTCTGAGCTATACAGTGGGGTCTCGACTTACGAACGGCTCGACATACGAACGTTTCGACTTACGAACCGCTCTCATAGGAATATATGGACTCGACTTACGAACTTAGATTTGAGTTACGAACTCTTTTTCCCCTTTTTTTAAAAGCTAAGTCATCTTAGGTTAAAAGGAAAAAAAGAGAAAAATATCCCCCTCTAGTGGCAGAAGGCGGAATAGCAGCTTCCCATTAGTTTCTATGGACGAAAAGAGCAGATACGGATTAAATGGTTTTCA